GTCGCAGGTTCGAGTCCCGCCAGAGGCATTTTATTACACAATTTCTTTATTCATTTATTTACAGGACTACATTCGTTGAGAGCTATGCTACACGATGTACTATTATGTCCTTTATTCGAACACTGTATTTACCTTTCTTTGATGATTTATATATAATTTAACAGTGTTAACGGCTATGATATAGTTCTTATCAATTTGAAATGCTTTCAGCTGAGATACTTAAAGTGGGTTCGGGCGATGTTGGCAAGAAATATCCAGGCGGCGAAACTGCTGCTCTTGAGCTACTCCACTTGCGGGTTCAGCTGGAGGAGAAGGTTAGTTAAGGCTTGAAATAATAAGGAATATTTCAATAAGTGTATTTGAAAAAAAAGCGATATTTTGAGGTATAACATTTCCTGAAGGCTTTTTGGCAGCGAGGAATTTGAATTTGTAATATTAATTTAGTTTATTTTAGAATATTTTTGTTACCGTATGTATTGTATTTATATTTCTATAATAGTATTAATATTATTATTGTTTTTGTTGCTATACTATCAATAATAATAATAATAATAATAATAATAATAATAATAATAATAATAATAATAATAATAATAATAATAATAATAGGCCCTATTTATTTGGATTTACCTCATTGGCACACCGTTGAAAAACAAAAGTGCATCCGAAACACCAAACTTAAAGACAAATGATACATCAAAGTACAAGAACAACTAAGACTTAAAACTATTACTATAGTTGTTAATATTATTAATATTATTACTATTATTATTATTATTATTATTATTATTGTTATTATTATCATTATCCTTTTCAATTATTAATGTTTCCATAGACGTTTGCGAAGAATGAGTTTATGCCAAACCAGACGGTTCCGGACCTCATGGGAAAACCTATGAGTATGAGTCCATACCTAAGATTTGGATGCATCTCAGTTCATCGAATGTTTTGGATGATCCGAGACACATACTGCAAAGTAAGTTCACGTTGCGTGTGAACCCGCAATTAATTCATTCATGTGCATTTTTAAATCCACACTACGCTAAAGTCCACACTGTACAGTGTATCCACACTGTAACAGTCCACATTGCAGCATGTCCTCACTGTGTACGAAGTCAACACTGTAAATATTTTGTAGGTCCCACATTCGAAATCCATGTATAGACAGGTTTAAATGGTGATTTCATGGACAGTTTACAATAGGCCTATGTTTCTCCTGGGTCGTATTTTAACAATTATTATAGAGCTATATGGGACTCAATATGTTTAATTGAATAATATATAGTAAAATCCTAGTCGGAGTAGTGTGATAAGAATTCAAATTTTCTAGCCTTCAGGTAAACTCTGCTGAGGTTGCTCCAACGTATTTGACATCTCAACTCATGTAAATATTTTGTAGGTCCCACATTCGAAATCCATGTATAGACAGGTTTAAATGGTGATTTCATGGACAGTTTACAATAGGCCTATGTTTCTCCTGGGTCGTATTTTAACAATTATTATAGAGCTATATGGGACTCAATATGTTTAATTGAATAATATATAGAAAAGTCCTAGTTGGAGTAGTGTGATAAGAATTCAAATTTTCTACTTATGCCTTCAGGTAAACTCTGCTGAGGTTGCTCCAACGTACTTGACATCTCAACTTATCTGGCGGGAATTCTTCTATACGATGTCCGCTACTAACCCAATGTACAACCGTATGAAAGGCAATCCAATTTGTCTGCAGATAGATTGGTATGACGATGACGAAAGCTACCAAAAATGGGTTCAGGTTCGGCCATTTATAAAAATTACCACTGTATTTATATACCTCAGTTCGGGAGATTCTGGAGAAAATAAAAAGCTAATGGTATAATCTAAAATACTAAAACTGCTTGAACAAGAGTAAGAAATACTGGCGTGGTAAATATTAATTGATTGATTCATCGATTTGTTTATTCGCTCGTTTCGTTTATGCATTTTATTGTTCATACATCCATTTATTAACGGCGAAAGTTCCCTGTGGACAAAAAAAAGTTTCATGATGACCTAATTTCTCTGTCCTATGGCCCATCCAGTTGGCCCTGTACCGTACCGTACGTAATGATCATGAAAATACCGATCATGTTTGAATAGTTTTAAGTTTGAATTGTGAATTTTCAGATTTTAATGTTTGTATTTTTAATGTTTTTGAGAGCCTTTAGATAGTGATTAAGTTCGCTTTTAGGTAATCCTCGGGCTTTTTGTTTTTTTGTCATTTGTTTCTCCTATCTATTGTACTGTATTGTCTTGCCTGGAAATAAATAAAATAAATAAATAAAATAAATAAATTAGCCTTGTTCAACTGACTTTTCTCTCAGTATGTAAATGTTTTTGAATTATGCTGAGACTTAGGCTTATAATAAATTAATTGGATCATTTAAATTAAAATTATTTAAACTTATAGGATTTAAGATGGAATTTTCAACACAAAACAACTTTAAAATTGCAGGGTCCGAAATCATCCAATTTCAACAAAACACGTGGGCTATATCCTTTGCGTTTTTGCCAAAATGGGGCTAGTTTTTACCAAGTCATTTTTCAGTAGATCATTTCATTATGGTACCCAAAGATCACGAAATTATACCGATCATGTTTGAATTAGCCTTGTCCAACTGACTTTTCCTCATCATTTAAATGTTTTTGAATTATGCCGAAACTTAGGCATAAATTATTAATAGGATCATCGAAATTAAAATTATTTAAACTAGGTTTTAAGATGAAATTTTCAACACAAAACAACCGGAAAATTGCAGGGTCGGAAATCATCCAATTTCGACAAAAAAACGTGGGCTATCCTTTGCTAAATGGTGCTATTTTTTACCGGTTCAGTAGATCATTTCATTATGGTACCCAAGGATCATGAAAGTACCGATTATGTTTGAATTAACCTTGTTTAACATAATTTTCATAGCATTAAATGTTGTGAATAATTATGCCAGAATTAAGCGTATAGGCCTATGTCTAATGAATGATTAGATATATTGCCAAAAGAACACAGCCGTCAATACAAACAGTCAATAGATGGAATGATTGATTGATTATTGATTGAGATTGACACTACTTACCGATCGTTTTATTCCTTGCCATTGAATGATTATAATTGAACGAGACCGATTCGTATTGATCAAATTATCACAGTATTGATTGTATTCCCATTGAGTATTGATAGACTGTTATTGATTGATTGGTTGAGTGATCGATTGTCATTGCTAAATTGATCGATTATCATTTCTTATGTTTGTAGGGAAAGACTGGTTTCCCGTGGATTGATGCAATCATGATTCAACTGCACAAGGAAGGCTGGATACATCAAGTGTGTCGCCATGCTGTTTCGTCGTTCTTAACTCGTGGTGATCTGTGGATCAGCTGGGAAAAAGGATTTGATGTATGTTCCAAGTATCTTTATATTGAAGTAATAATAATAATAATAATAATAATATTAATAATAATAATAATATTAACAATATTTCACCATCATTGACTGCGGGCAGTGGTTAATTTGAATAGCCAGTATAAAATGAAATATGAAGACCAAGAAAATTATAAGTAGGCCTATTAATAATATTAACTACTGCATGCATATACATTTGGAAATTACCTTTTTTGGAAACTATTGACATATTTGGAAACTATTGACCATATTTGGCAACTATTGACTATATTTGCAACTTGTTACTATATTTGGAAACTATTAAATATATTTGGCAACTATTAGCTATAATTTTACGATTGGACATATTTGGGAATTATTGATTATATTTGGCAATTATTAATACCATAATGGCAATTATTTACCATATTTGGCAATATGCCTATTGTTGATCTTACTTTGTTAATTACATTGAATTGCAGACTTTTGAGAAGCACCTCCTAGATGCAGATTGGAGCGTCTGTGCTGGTAATTGGATGTGGTTGTCCAGCTCTGCTTTTGAAAAATTTTTGCAGTGTCCCAACTGCTTCTGTCCAGTTCGTTATGGCCGCAGAATGGACCCTTCTGGAGAATACATCAAGTAATTAGACCTAATTACTGTATATTATTATCATTCAATAATTGCATTTATTGCAGATACTGATATCAATATTTATAATTATTCACCACAATATGATCTTTTGCAGGAGTTTTCTGCCTGTTCTGAAAAACATGCCTCTGAAGTACCTGTTTGAGCCTTGGAAGGCACCACTGAAAGTACAAGAGGAAGCCAAGTGCATTGTGGGTAAAGATTATCCTAAGCCAATGGTGAAACACTCTGATGTGAGCAAACGCAACAAAAAGCATATGAATGATGTTATGCAGGTATTTAAGGACATAGGTGAGTTACATTTTCAAATACAGGTCTCTCTCTACCTCTAATTAAAGACCACCTCCAATTGAAGACCACATTTCTGCAATTTCAAGTGAGGCCTAATCTTCATAATACAGTAATAATTTGTCTAATTAAAGACTAAATCTGCTAAAGATCAGGAAATCCTTGGTCCTAATAGTAGTCATAATTTACACTTAATGTAAAAAAAATAACAATGAAAATTATTGATATTGATGATAATATTTATTAATAATATTGAACAAACATTTATAAATCTTAAATTTCTAATAAATAATTACTTTACATTTCGTGTCATTGCAGTATGCATTGTAATTTTTCTTTCTTTATTGATAAACAGACAAAAGCAATAAAAACCATAACTAAAAAGTTATTTTAAAATTCAATTTGATGTATTAATATGTCAAACTTCAATAGAAATTGGGTTATATTTGGAGTAGTGCCTAACATACTGATTTATATATTGGTTTCTTTATAGTGGTAAATCACTGCGCTCCATCCAGTGAGCAGGAAGTGTATGACTTAACCTGGCTGCCAGAAATTGATCTGGAAAGACCTACTAAATGCACAGCTGACGAGTTCTGTACGAAAGTGCACTAGAAAGAACAACATCGACAACTAAATCTCGCAAGCAAAAAACTAAGCCCCATCAGTTGCACTAGCACCTTGAATATTGGAACACAGCTCGAGATTGAATAGTATAATAATTTGAGTATCACCATAGAAAACACTCATCTTCATCAATGTGCACGTAACTAAGACACACACAGGGACACACCCACAGCTCCTCACTTCATAGACAGCGTACACATAACTCCATAGACAATGGAGTGGAGATGTGTATACAGTATAAAACACAAATAACTCCATGAACAACACTCATATACCTCCCCAAACCATGTGTACTTAATTAAAAATGCACACATGTAACAGTTGTGTACTACATTATTGAATAGACTTGCACCATTTCTATGTGCTTGCTCAAATAAACAGCTTCATAGTAAAATGCATAGTAACTTGCATACATTATACAAAATCTACTAATACATATAGTAAGGTTAATACATATGAACACATTAACACTCTTCCACCAATGAGGCCTTTCAATAGGACGTCATATTAATCTAATTGAGTAGACTTACACTATTTCTATATGCTTGCACAACACACAGGTACATATGATAACCATAATACATATGAACACATTAACACTCTTCCACCAATGAGGCCTTTCAATAGGACGTCATATTAATCTAATTGAGTAGACTTACACTATTTCTATATGCTTGCACAACACACAGGTACATATGATAAACATAATACATATGAACACATTAACACTCTCCATTAATGGTGAGGCCATTTCCATGATGACTTAAATCTAACCGAATAGACTCGCACCATTTCTCTATACTTACACACACAGCTACATAGTACATGCATACTGATTGCATACATTATAAAAAATATAATGCATGTGATAAACATAATACATATGAACATATTAATAATAATAATAATAATAATAATATTTTATTATACAGGTCAGATAGTTATTAAATAATTTTCAATGTTTTTAATTTATTTTAAATGTTTTTATGACTTTCAGTGTTGTGTTTTTTAAACTGTTAATATCATTTACTTCCATTATTCATGTTCTAGCAATTTAACTATTTTATAAATATTTTATTCATTATACATTAATTTTTTTAAATATGATTATTAATTTCTCCTGGATGATGAATTTCTTCTGGATAATAAGTATTTCTGATTTTTTTTTTGAATGAATACTCTACACAAATGTACTGTACACAAAACATGCATATATTATACAAAAAAAAATAACATACGATAAACATAATTCATGAACACATTAAAACTTCCATTCATGATTAGATCATTGCAATATTATGACACATCTCTAATTAATAGATATATCTTTTAAATGGTATTTATGGTGTATGGTTATAAATATCTACGCTGTATGCTTGTGGAGGTTGTGTCATTTTCTGCTCCATATGCTGTTTTAATGCCATCTTGAAGCAGTGGCCTTGCTGAAATTCTATATCCAATTTTGTTTTCAACTGACAATTTTGAGATAATTGCACTAAATTATTTATGACAAACAATATTCAAAGCAAATCAATTTATTCTTGTTCTAAATTAAACAAATTAGTCTTAAAATAGACAAATTGTCTTAAAATACACAAATCATCATAAGAGTTGAGAGTTTAAGCCTAAATAAAGGTGTTTTTTTAGGGGTAGATTGTTGGAAATTATTGATAGGGAAAATCACAATCCTGTGTAAAAACTCGTGTGTGTAAGCACCTATATTAAACAAGGAATGATCAGTCTTGTGTAGAAAAATATGTTGAACCAGGAACATCTTGATAAGTAATTAGCCAATACTTGGTGATCTATAAAATGTTTTTGGGGAAGGGGGAATGGAAGGAGAAGAGTTGGGATTTGCTAATTCTGTACACCCATTACACTGTTTAAATGCATACACTAACACTACAGCTCATCAGACAGATAAATCGTGATGGTGAATTCACGCAGGAAAACTAAGACAGTGTTTAATATTTGCTGTATTTTTACAAGAAATACTTAGGGTTTATGGAAAAAAAATTTCTAATATCACATAACGAAAAATGTAACACAAATTGGTCTCAATCATTATTTTTAATAAACGCTTTAAGCCAAATAAATAAATTAAATAGAATTATTAATTATTTCCAGAAAGGTTAATAAACTATTGATAACATTCATAGTGTGTAACAGTTATAAGTCCTTGGTTACATGCTTGCGCAGTTAGTTCTGAAAAGAACCGCTGTTGAATGTCTATAATCAAAAGGAGTATAAAAATAAAGGTCATTTATGCTATTTTTCAGAGTCAAATCTTGATATAAAGTTGTAGTTTTGTAAGCTTGAAGCAATATAATGAAAATAAAATAAAATATCTCGTATCTATATCTGAAAGTGAAATAGTTATTTAAATAAACCAAGGAATATGTACTGTTGGTTATGATGTTTTGGTTCATTTTCAATGGATATATAAATGGTTATAAACTTGTATGGTGCATAATACTAGGTATATAAGTAGTATTAATTATCATGGAATATCAAAAACATGTTAAATTGATTATTGTATGTGAATAATATTAATACAATAAACAAAACAAAGATTACATTTTAGTAGTTCCAAAATAGTACAAGACCATATACAGTACTTAATATAATACTTTTAAAGTTTTATTTGAGTATATATACAGATCAATAAAACTTTATCACATAGTTTAGACAAACATTAATTAATAAATTAATTACACCTTTAGTATATTATTCCAAAATCAAATATTTCAGTCCTACAAATTAAATATATTTCAAGGTCAAAAATAAGAAGGCACTTATTAAAGTTTGGTGTTAATACTGTATTAATTAACATCTAATCCTCAGTTAATCTATAAAGCAATCTATTGCCAAATTGATATTTCCATAATGGTATCGTAATATCAGGAAACTCTAAAATACATTTTACTCTGTAATAAATTTTGAAAGACTAAAAAACTTTTGTACACAGTTAGTAAAAACAGGACCATGCATATTTAAAATTTACAAGCATCATAATCACTGCCTTTAAACCTCCACCCCACGTTCCTATAACCTGGTTAACAAGTCTCTTAAGCGCTCTTCTGGTCCTAATCCCACCAGTAGTATTTAAAAAGTGCTAAATAGTAGAAATGTGGCTTGGTGGGTAAGATGCTTGCCTTCTAATACTAGGGTTCTAAGTTCAAATCCTGTGACACCAGGATTTTTGTTCACTTCCTAAACCTTGTATTGAGAATAAGTTTATGAAGCATTATTTCAAATATTTATGTCGGATTTGCCAAGTATCGCAAAGAGCTGTGCGGAGAGTGTCAGTGTACATACTACTTGGTATTACCCAAATCATTGCAACACGCGCAGCTAATGCACACGCAGAGTGATCACTGAGCAACCATCACTTTGATGGATTTATGATATAGGGCCTATAGCAACCACTCTACAACCAGCAGTTTGAATATAAAAAGTTACAGAAAATGTGAAAACTAACTTATAAAGCAATTCAAGTCGAGTAATTTCGTACAATATAGGAAATAGAAGCCTTAAGAACCATTACTTCCTTCAAAGATTTCCATCAAAACCCTCGCAGGCAATTTTTTCAGGAAATAATGGCTCCTTCGGCTTCAAAACCCGACTATATTTGCTTAAATAAATTATAAATTATTCTGATTAACTTTAAGAGTTAATTGATTTTCAATATTTACAAATTAAATCATTACAAAAGCTATGGAATGAAAACATCTCAAGGTGTATATATTAAAAATAAAATTTAAATATAAGCCATCTACTTTTATAATGCATATAATATAATATAAACACTATATATATGATCTTAAATATAGGTATTACAATGCTGAAGTTTCCTTTTTGGAGGGTGTTCTCTGTTATGGCATACATCAAAATATATGTGGTTATTTTGCTATGTTCTACAAACTACAGCATTCAAAGGAATTCAGTTTATACAAAAGATTAAAAACAATTTCTACTAGATATGTATCTATGGCTGTAACACAAACAATTGGTAAAATAACAGTAATTTATTAATCTGTAAATCTCAAACTGTTATAAATTAACATAAAATTTATGTACTCATTTATTGAAATTTCATAAAGTCTATTCTAAAATATAGAGAAACATATTGAATCATCTACATGGTTAAATACACATGTACTGTATAAAATTTAAGTTGAAACCAGTGAACAGTTTGTTAGAATATTCTGTTTTCTTTAAACATCAAATGCTTTCCCCGTCACATTCTTTGTTTTGTAAAAGATACTAGCTTGCCGATCTGTTACATTCTTCCGCCTTAGCTTAGCCTGTAATGAAATGAAAATTGTTTGTCAACAATAATAATATTACAATAAAAATGTAAAAAATTGCAACTTATGCAAATCCACTGAGATGAAATCAAAAGCTATCAGAATATGAAAGGAAAATAAATGTATCAATATAATTACCAAAAAACAAAGAATCAAAACAGAATAAACATGATGGGTGTGATTATCAGCCCGTTAAAATGATGGGGCATGTTTTGTTTCATAAATTGATGGTGCCTAGGCTGCCAAACAACATCGACACATTTTCAAAGTTTGCATTTAATCTTTGTTTTGTTGCTTTGTTCATTTTTACTTTAACCCCTTCACTGCGCAGTGTTTGTCCCACCTCTGTTTTTGTTGTTGTAGAGGTGGGCAAGTGGCTGGCCTATGTGTGGGGGGGGGGGGGAAAATATATTGGTGATTTGCATAATTATGTGGTCATGTGACCTAATGGTAGCCATATTGGATCTCCCGTTTTTCATCAAATTTGTAAAAAAAGCTACTTTTTCTCAAAGAAATTTTTATGGGATATGTTTTTTTTCACTGGATTATGATGAAGATACATAAAATGAATAAAAATACGTTTGAACTATTTTCATCGTTTTATAAAAAAATACACAAGTCAAAGGACTAGGAGATTCCTTTGCTTAGGCTGCTTTGGCAAATCGCCCGCATCATTATCGTCACTTCCACCGCCAGTGCTAGGTATAGGCCCTCCAAATCCACAAATTCATTTAAAAATCACTACCGGAACTAGAGTCAGCTGATGCAAACGTATTCGCAGAACTGTCAAAATCAAAGTCGTTTGATACACTATCTGTATCAGCAAAAATCTGATCCACGACTTCATTCACATTATATCGCTTCTTTCGAGGCTGTGCACCCGCTATTTTGCTAGTAAACATAATTTTAAATGAGGAAAAATATTCTATTGATAGAAAAATTATAGAGGGCGGATGTTAGTACAAGGAAGTATTTTTAAAGAATTATTTTTCATTCCCCCGGTAGTACCGCGGGAATGCAGATCAACGACGTCTAATTATGCCCGGTAGTACCAGGAGAACGCAGCTAAAGGGTTAATTCACTTTATATATTTAAAAATGAGATGAAAAAAATCAAGTAGGATGAGTAACTAGCTCACTGAAAACAAGATTTGATGAGTTCAAATGAGTACAGAAGATAAGGCCTCCTTAAAATAAATGCATTATAACTAAATCTTAGGGAATGGAGAAGTTAATAAAAATGAAAAAATATCATATGCTGAATTCTTAATTCTATATATATTGTAGTTCTTAAAATTCATTGGGTAATGTTTGATTTTTAATTAAACATGTGAATGTGACAGTCAGGAGGACGACAAGTATTTTTTGTACAAGGTCTAATCGAAGTTTTTAAACGACAATATCAAGATTGTTTGCTATAACTGTGTTAGAATCTTCAGCTGTCAAAACAAAAAAAGGATCTTTAGATAAAATCAGCTCCATCTATATTTCACAACAAAGTAAATCATAGTGAATTCACAAAAATATTGATTTAAGTGTGTGTTTAGCTGAATCAGATACTGGTAGAATTCACTCTCAAAACCTAGAAATACTGGAAAAACATGAAAAACTTTCACCTTTTAGGTTAAGAAATTAAGTCCTGGGTGTACAATTAATACAGCCATCTTTCTTGGGTATGAAGCTACAATAAATCCTTTTGGACCACCGGGCCTAAACTGGCACCCATCTGTTGTCTCAGTGATCTGTACGTGGGTGGGTGTAAATGGTCCTCCAGGAGGAAAACAATAGTGAAAAGAGGGCAGGAAAATTTTCTCATAGCCAAAAGCCAAATTTTATTGAAGAGGGCTAAGTTCCTATGCACCACCAAACTAAGCTTATTTCAGTGAACTGTTATGGTCCAATCAGGTACATCCATCTTGGCATAACATTAAGTGATCGAGAATCTGATAGAGATGTTCTTCACAGTAGAGGATCTGAACTCATTATTATTAATCTGCGTTTTATCCAGAGGTGACACTAAACTGTGGAAGTTTCAAAGCTGACTTTAAAGAATGTCTTAACCACCTGCATACCACAGCGAAGCATACAATACAATGACACGAATGTAATGCCTTAAAAAACGAAAATGAAGATAGTTCAACCAAGTGACTAAAAATACAGCATATTAGCATATTATGGAAGAAATTGGCAGGAAATGGCAATCTATCTTGAGCATCTTACAGCATTTTTGAACAATGTATTCAGAAATTTGCTTATTTTGTTACATTAACTGATATAAATTAAAAAGAATGTATGTGATATAAGACATGGATCAATATTAGCGTGGTCATAAACGCAATGATACAAGAGATGCAAGATACTACAAATTGGTACACACAACAAAAAATTAAAATTGTTCATTTGCGTCACTCCGACATTGGGTATTAAAACAAAGAAGCCAAAACCCAAACAGCAGCACATGAAAATAGAATAATTAATCCTTTGTTATTAATAAACTTTAAGCAGACACAAAATATATTTTGTGTCTGATAAGTCACAGCCACGTTTTACATAACAGAAATCATTTTTTAAACATTCCTTTCCATTGGGTTTTGTTTCTAGCTATCTATTATAAAAATCAACAACAATAATTTCAAATTTAAGCCCTCTTCCTTTAATATCAGATTTAATTTTCGAGAATAAAGTGACACTGTGCCTTCCTTTTTGGCCTTACAAGTTTATTGACTGATGGCAAGCACAAGTGCACAATGTGCAGGAGTGAGTTAATCACTTTGTTAAATGTGCCCAAGCATTGATCCTCCTTTACGCATTGGAGAAAAAGTATAACCTTCTGACCATAAATTAAGTGTCGGCAGACTAGCTGACTACAGGATTAGACTAGGCAGACAGCTAAGGCTTCATAAAAATTGATTAGCTTTATCACCCTAATCATCAATTAGCTCACTCATTTTGAATATATCATATTAATGATTTGGAGCTTATTATGGCAAATGCCGTTCAACGAACTGAAGTGTAAAGTTATGCACCTAGGACACAAAAATGCAGGCTATTCATATTTCCTCAATCGGGACTCTTCTGATCCAATCCAATGTGTACAATGTGAAAAAGACTTAGGGATAATCTGCGATTCTCGTTCAACATTTAGTGAACATGCGGCTGAAATCTCTAAGAAAGCGAATAGCCGTTTGGGGCTAATCAAGCGAAGTTTTACTGCATTATCTACAGATTTATTTCTTCTCATCTACAAAGCCATCGTCCGCCCTACACTAGAATATTGTAATTCTGTATGGAGTCCAGTATTTAAAAAGGACGCCATAGTTATTGAAAACTTTCAGCGCAGAGCGACTATGCTTATTACAACTATACGTGATTTTGAATACCAAGATCTTCTCCGCATACTTGGACTGCCATCTCTTACTTATCGACGCATCAGAGCAGACCTAATCCAGATTTTTAAAATTCTAAATCAATTCGATGACCTATCGGAAGAATTCTTTTTTACGAGAATAACGGATTCTGTGACACGAGGCCATAGCCTTCGCATTCGGCCTACTTTATTCAGATCTGAGGTTCGCAGACATGCTTTTTCTGTGCGTTCAATAAATGAATGGAACTCGTTACCAAATTTTGTTGTAATAGCCAAATCTATAAACCAGTTCAAAAATTTACTTGCAAAAGCACACAAAAACCACCCGAAACTCTATAACTCATATTATGATTTTTAATGCCCATGCACGAGCGGCTCATAAGCAAGCTTCAAGAGTCTCTAATATCAAGTAAATCAAGTAAATATGTACAATATAAATCAATCCAATTTAGGAGACAAACATCAACAGATGGTTTCAGAAATATGACAGATTACATGATTTGTAAAGGAAAGTACCAAGCGGTTTAGAGGTGTGCAGCAGAAGGATATCGCCATAAATCTACATGTATTTCCTGATGCATTGCAAGATGCCTATTCTACAGTTATGTATTCGTCTCTAAAAAATCAATTAACAACAAACAAGAACAACCGAGACAGGATTCCAAGCAGCAAACTGAATCAAAGTTTAAAAAAGGGTCTCCTCAAAAACCCATAAAATACAAACAAGCCAAGATAACAAAAGGGCACACAATCATGTTATTAAGAATAATATCAATAATAGTAATAATAATATGCGCTTAGTCGGACTTAAGGGAAATATCTTTTGTGTTATTTCCCCCTAACGTCATGTTATTTTCCAATTAACATTGTTTTTTTAATTGTTCTCTAATTTCTCCATTGTCTAAGTTCCCCTTACGGTAGGTTTTATTAACATAATAATAATAATAATAAATAATAATAACAACATTATAACAGGTATACAAAGTTACAAACATATGTAGAGAGCAATCAATTCATTTGATACTCCAGAAAACCATGACATTAGTGGTTAACACCAACAAGCTTTCACTCGCTAAAGCCAGGAGCCCAGGGATATTAATCAGCATTTTCTTTCTGCCAGGACCATTAGCCCAGAATTGGCGAAGTAGGCCCTTATACTCAGGAAATCAAAATATGGCTTTTTAACACGCTAAAAAACACTGGAACAGACAAGGGGGATTTGACCTATGGGTCATTCTTCAGTAAAGTGGTCATACCATGTTCTACCGCTTTAAGGTACTATAAAACAAAATGAATTTAAAGGAAAATTGATTTTTATTGCGGTAAAATAATCTTTTAACACATTTCTGATTAAATGTAGTGTCACTAAATTTTGAAAATGATAAACATATGGGTTATTTTCAACAAAACTCTGCCAAAACCCCATATAAATGCATGTCCTGATTTAATTTATCTAAATTTTCAAATGCCATAATTCGTAAAGTAACTTACTTGAAAGAATAATTATACCACCAAAACACAAGTATGTCTGGTCTCTTTTAAATGTAAAATTTAAAACTACATTTATAAAACCATAAAATTTGACCTTTTTAGACTAAAAAAAATGTGTCCTGCATCATGGTGACTTTAGAACACTATAGCTGTTAATAAAATGACCTAAACAAGTTTGATCAAACCATTTTGAATGCAGGGGAACACACAGTCAAGAATTGACTGCACAAGCACAAGAGTACCTTTATTCCACATCATCTCCAAACAATTTAGAACAGGCTTTACTTATGATTTTTTCAAAGCACACATGGTTTTTATTCTGTAGACAAAATGGGAATAGCTATATAAACAGAGACTTTAATTGAATTATAGCCGTCATAGTCATCTCCGTCAGATTTTACTGTGATGAAGAAGATTTCTTAATGCTTTCTTTTGTCAATAATGGAAATAAAATAAGGGTGAATATGGATCTGGTTTATTCTGTTAGGAAGAACCTCGTTCAGTGTTCATTATCATGTATTCAGACATTACAATCTCTCATTTAAATTCACTCAGCTTCACATCTATTCAAGTATTGTCATTTCTGTCATAGAAAGTTTTTTTGTTAATGTATTTCCTATGCTACAACACTAAAAATTAAATGTTTAATTAAGTGCATATTATTCCCAAAAGTGTGCGGCAAACATTGACTTAGGGTTTTGTACAACATAAGAATCATATCCCATGAAGAAACATTTTTTTCCATGGTGTTCTAAACCACTAAATGTTCAATTTACTGAAGAATGACCCCTAAACCTGACTTGTGCCCAATTGTGTTTGTCGTGATGGAATATGGTGTCAGTTTACCGGGTAGTTCAGACACAAAGTGATCCTAAGGGGAGAAGCAAGTTACTGTATGAGCTGGTTCACACCTCTAACGCTTTTGAGACTTTGGTATAAGGCGCTACATAAATTTGTCTTTTTTTAAAAGTATATTACACTATTATCTAACCTTTTTTGAGTAGCGCTTTTTCTTGTCTTTTTTGTATTTTGAAGTCACAGCTTCTTCCTCCTCACTTGGACTTGCAGTGATTTCTTGATTTTCAGTCTATAAATGCAAACAAGCAAAAAAATTCAGAATTGAAATGGTAATAAAAGAGGAAGACAAAGCAACAGCAGACTGAAAACAAATTTGCTGGTCAGAATATTCATTTTCTTTTTTTTTTTTTAGGAAAAAAGGCTTCTTTATTTCTTGAGATCATGGGTTACTTGGCCTTGGGCAAAACTAAGTTGATTTTTAGCCTATTGATACTGGTGGTGGTGATAAAGCTGATTATGATAATTACGATAATAATTCTGATATGATAATAATGATGATACAACCTGCTTCATATGAATTTATTTAAAAGGAAGCATGTTATTAATGAAGATGGAGGTAAGGGAAGATAAGAATTTTAGAAAGTGTTTTTATTTAGGACCCTTACGCTGCCATCTTCGCATAAATGCAAACACTGCACAGTTGGTGTGCATGCCAGATTAGGCTCACTGTAAGCCGTACGCCACCTTCGCATAAATGCGAATTGGTGAAGGTCTTCTAAAAAATGCCCATAGAGCGGCTGTTTTAACACTAGTGTTTACTACATATGAAAGCTAATGAATTTCAGCACATTTTGATGTGAAACTTGCTGGGTGTTGTTTTGTTAGATGTTTGAGTTTTGCAAGTTAAAAATATGATATTTTGAAATGCTCAGAAACTTTATTCTTCTGTAGTTGTTACAGCTGGATAATAATGAGACTTAGAAACTAACATAGAAAACGATATTCTGGTCCTAGGCCTAGCTAGGCAGACCTAGCTAGGCCTGGACTGTGATGGTAATGTTAGTAAATATACGTAGGCATAGGATTCGTTATTTTGATTTTCATCAGCAAATAATTTGACTTAGAAAACACATACTCTGCTAATAGGCCTAGGCCCAATGTACTATTTGTGATAGGCCTTGACAAAATATTCCTATCATTTATTCACTAAATGATAAATATAATGCAGAAATAAAAGCATATATGTACAAAAAACTAATGCTGATTAATTGTTTTTAGATTTATATTTTCATAATCTCAATAGTTTATGAATTTTTGAGCAAATAATATACACTATCAAAAATAAGCATTACGGTGACCTTGTTAAATAATTAGCTGGCACAGGGGATTAGAGGTAATGTTATCAACTGGCGGACGCTCTGGTTGACTGAGTAAGAAAAGAGCTAGCAGCGTAAGGGTTAAATGTGCATCCTTCACTGTAAAGTTTTTATTACCAGTGATAACAATTGTAGCCCACAAAAATCTAGACAAACATTACAAAGTAGAAACTTACGCCACTGTTAACTCTGTTAAGTTCTGAGTCAATTGGTGCTAAATTGCTGACAAAAGCTTGATATATTCCTTCTTCATCTTCTTCTTTCTGTTGCCTATAGAAAACAAACATGAAGACAGCCATCTATAAAATGAACAATCACAACTTTATACAGAAAATACAAAGACAAAATATTATAATACCAATAATAATTAATATTATTATGAGAAGTATCAATACAAAATAATGATGATAATAATGACAAGAACAATAATATTAATGGTTACAATTTATATTGATGATGACAATGATGATGATGACGACTGTTAAATGTCGCCTTCGATGATTTATTAATTTTAATTGGATTCACAAAAAGAAATGAATAGCAGTCCATATGAACAATACTTCAACTTGTTTATTTTACAGCTCTCTACATTGCTGTCAATCTAAAGTTCCTGTCTATCTATCTCTAACCTCCCTATCTCATTTAACTTATATTCTTAAATCCTACCTAACCCCCCCCCCCACAATTCTAAGTTCAATATCCTCTTAATCAAGAGGTTTCTTAGTTACAGTGACATTTAAAGATTAATGTGTCATCTCTTTCAATCCCACACCACAGGAAATTACTTATTCTTGCCAGAACTATGGGACTTTGTTAAACAGTTCCACTCCAGTCTGACCACAATCATTTGACTTAAGGATTCACATTATGTTATTTAACTATTAAAATGACGATGATCTTGTTGACGACAGCATTGACAGCCACTGCCAATATAAATGGTGCATCCTACCACACCATCTATTGGCTTCATATATCACCCACACCTTTAGAACAAACACATAGTGTATGCAATGCACACTCAACTTTCTGACAAGTATTCCATAACAGTTAGCAATCACTGCATTAGGCATTTAAACTATATAAGGTACACGCTTATACTCAAGGTTTGAAACAGACAATATGGGTAAAGTGCCATGCACAAGGATACAAAATCAAACTTCAAAACTTTCAATTATAAAAATGATTTGTAGTAAACACCACAGTTCCTAAATCCTGAAATGCTGTCTCAATAATATCTATATGCTGCCCTCTATAGCCAATTATAAAGAAACTTGTTTAAAAAGAAACAGCTAACTGTTTTCAGGAGTTTAGTCAAAGTCCCTTTTCAGATACTGACAGTTTTGAACACCACAACAATTACATACAGTTAGCTCATTCTATAATTGAATACGAAAAGTCCTTCATTATCTCAATTATATTTCAATTTATTTATATCTAATATTGCAATATTATCTGTCTTCACTTACACATGTCTTTCAACCAATTTCTGAGTCACAATAGCATTCAGTCTAGCCTCCCCGTACAGACCATCTACAGCAAGCTTTGCAGTTGATTGTGCAGCATGTGTCCCAAGAACAGCTACATTCAAGTCTGTCAAAAAAAACCCCCATAATTATTGTTTTCATTTTATTTATATATTTATTATAGTTGTATTTTCTGTAGGGTTAATAATGAGGGGTGGATTTTCAGTCAAGCTTATAAAAGAGACCCTCTCACATTTGAACAAACATAAATATATAAAAAATCTATCAAACAAAACATCCAGAATAAATTTATGTATTCCAGCAAAAGTTTTGATAAGAATAAAATTGTACAAACCCACCCCCCACCCCCAAGGATTTAAATGTGAACGTATTAGGACAGAAATAAGTGCATATGTTAAATTCTTACTCTGCTCAGCAAACTGGCGATCCTTTGTGACAGGTCTGTCCATCGTGATGATGCGAAGGCACTCTGCACCCGTACGCGTTGTATATCGAATCTGCAGCTTTATGTCTGTCTCTTATACACATCTAGATGGGTATAAGAGACGGGAGTAGGATAAGGCTAGCGCGACATGCGGACGTTGGTACGTGTTGGTTAGTCTACAAACGTCGCCTAAAGTAATTGATTTTACTCGGCAGAATGAAAGAAGGAAACTCCGCTTTTCAGTCGTCTCAGGCCCTTGTTTTTTGAAAAACAATGACCTTTCAGAGGTCAAATTGCTGTCAAGAATATGAATTAGCTGCTTCGCAGCAAAAACTATACTCAAAGTTATCAAGCCTCCTTCATCTAATGTTATGCTTCCCCATTTTACATGTGAAATTATTAGTTTATTGTAATATTCTTTATGTTTTAATCAACAAATTAAAGTATAATATACTTCACGGTGCAGACAAGCGTAAGTTAAGAATGAACAGAACAAGACATGCCTTCTCTGTTCAACTTAATGGATTAATTTTATCACAATATATTTGTTAGTTGTTACTTTCATTTGTTACTTATATATTTATTTATTTATTTATACAATTCTGATATTTAAGTGCATTGATTTTGATTTTATAACTGTTTGTAAATAAGAGAGGCCAAGCTTGATTAGCTTTGCTATTTCCTGGTACACCTCTTGTATTGTACTGTTTGACTGCCTGCTTATGTACAATAAAGTATAAAGTATCTTTAAGTATTTTTAAATCAGGGGTGGGCATAAAAATGGGTCGGAGGGCCAAAGTAAATTTTTGATTTAACACCGAGGGCCGCACCCGAACTTTGATGTTTCCAGTGCGCTTCAAAAAACCTTCATACACTACTTTTTGAAGGATTTTTTATCAGCTTTAGCATTAAATTTTACAGATAAGCGATGTCGGGCTGTAAGAAACAAGGTTTTTCTAGCAAAAGATGGTTGTCGGGCTACAAACACAGGCTTGCTAATTCATTTTTGTGGGCCGCAAAAAAATCACTGTCGGCCCACACTTTGCCCACCTGAGCTTTAAATTATAGATATTGCTCTATGCACTCAATTAAATGACTGATTTTGATTGATTGATTGAAACATACAGTATATCAAAATTTATGAACATTTTACCTGCACTTTCTTCTGCTTCAATCATCGTTCCACCAAGGTTATCATAGAGCACTGTAAAAACCAATTAATAAACACCACTTTTAATTGTACAGTTAAACAAAATAATAATTATCAACTTATCATTGTAGCCTATTATAATTATGTTCAAATATTTAGTCTAAAATATGTTGCTACTACTCCCTGTTATATTTTATAATATTATATAAATAATACAAAAACATAAATTTTATTAAACAGCATCATTATGCAAGTTTGACATTAAGCATTTGTTTAAAGAAATTAAAAATGTTGGTAACTGAAATCACACACCTTGCATTACAGGTTTTTTGCGAACACCAAATTCAAAAGTTGCTTCTGAATCAGCTGTCACGTTACCTACATCACGAGTAACAACACTGCCCTCAGTGTCCTCGTTACGAAAATACCTAAAGAAAATATAATAAATATGACACATAAAATATAAAATATTATACTTTCACAGTAACTAAATTAAAATGTGTGTAAATATGACAAATGTGTTCCCTTGAGAGAAAAACTTAAAGATAGATAAATATACAGCAGATTGATATCAGAGGATGTATGGATTGTTGTATGAACAAAAGATGTAAGAAAGTGGAGCTTGGTGGTTAAGATGCTTGCCTTCCAATCACAGGGTTCTGGGTTCAAATCCTATGACCTCACAGGATTTTTTCTCATGATAAAAAACATCTCCAATCCCTAAGCCTTCTAATATGAAAGTTCGCAGAAGAAGCATCACATTATTTCATTTATTTAAGAGGGTCCCCTGACTATCTGCCAACCTTCTAGGATGTGCTGGAATTGTTACCCTCTATAAATATGGTTTAAAAAAAAGCATGTACGGATGGATGATCATACTAATAGAGTTGGTTCGCTATACTTACATTCCATTGTGTAATATCAGCTTCGCTGAAACCTTGCAAGCTAATATCGGATCTAGCAGGATGCTCCCAAACTCCTCGGACAAGTTATTTGGTTGTACAATGTTCACCTAAAAATAACAAATTGAAGTTTTTTTTTTTTAAACCAGGAAATCATGGTATACAGTACGGTACATTTTCCTAGATTACACAAAAACACAGCAAATTGTTATGTTAATGCTTTATGTATACAGAGTGCACACAACCTTAACCCTTATTAGCATACCACCTGCAAGAATTTTCGTCCCCACAAGTCTCTGAATCTAGGCCACTGATGAAAAGTTTGCAATAAAAAAAAACAAAAAAATAATGTTTGTTTACAACACGATTTATATTATTTTAGTAAGAGTTAGCCTTTTATTTGTGTTTGTTCTTAAAATTAACAGAAAAAGTATAAATAAGCATGTGAAAAGAGCCACCTCCAAGAAATGGGCTGAAGCTGATAAAGTAAAAATTAATCTGGTCGTTAATGGTAGTAAACTTGAAGAAATCCAGTATGTTAAGGATTAGAGAGAAGTTAATCCTTATAAGAATACAGTGCATATTACATTGTAGAGGGGTTGATGACTTATATACACAGAGTGCATTACAATCTTATAGAGAAAGGTTGATGCCTCACAGTAGTGCATGAAAAGGTTTCCATGAAGTCAGACCTGCTAAGTTTGTGCAAAGATACCATAAAAATCTCTAATTGAAGCCCTGGGCTTCTTTTTTATTGCCGAACTTTGGATGGGCTTCTTTTCGAAATTGGCTTCAAAGTAAAGAGGTGGCTTCTTTTCAAAATGAATGCTGTAAATTTTGGAAATTATTACTATAAAACAATAAATAGGGCCACTGTAACATCAATTTGTATCATGGAGTGTATTGGCATTAAATCACCTAAATTACTGTATAAACCAAACATGTTTCTTTGAAATTCATGTACAGTGTATGTACTGTACTATCTCTAAAAGAAGCCTAAGCTATCTTGAAAAGAAGCCCATGGGCTGCTTTTCAAGGCTAACTTTGCTAACTGAAAAGGTGGGCTTCAATTTGAGATGGGCTTCTTCTCAAAATTAAGCCCATTGGGCTTCAATTCGAGGTTTTACGGTATGGCATGACACCCTGAAGGGAGGTCTACACCACCGCCGAACTATGGTTGGAGCTGAGGTCTAATTTTGCTCCAAAATCACCTAAATATATGTACCTTACTATGACTGTGTAAGAGGCAATAAAGCCAGTGTTAACAATATTTAAAAACTGAATATAGACATGAAAGCAAATGACAACATATTATACAATCTATTTCATATATATTGCAGAATATAGAGTAGGGAACGACCGGACAACAATTTTTTTGTGACTTCCGTGTTAAAGTGAGTGACACTTCCCAGCTAGCAAGCGACGTTGACCCGACGTTGGTTGAAGGTCGAAAAATTACGTTGGCACAACGTACTTACACAAAGGTTGGCGCGACGGCCGTTTTTCCATCGGCCCAACGTGGATTCAGCTGGTTGGAAAGACGTCGGCCCGACTAGTTGGATCTACGTTGGCCCGATAATGTTTGTGCAACGTCGACCAATCACGTTGGCCCAACGTACCTTTTTGATGTTGCCTAGACGTTCATTTTTCTATCGGGCCAACGTCGATTCAGCCAGTTGCAAAGACGTCTATCCGACTAGTTGGATCAACGTCGGGCCGACGTTGGTTGAAGGTCAAATAATTACGTTGGCATAACGTACTTACACAAAGGTTGGCCCGACGGCCGTTTTTCCATCGGCCCAACGTGGATTCAGCTTGTTGGAAAGACGTCGGCCCGACTAGTTGGATCAACGTCGGGTCGACGTTGGTTGAAGGTCAAATAATTACGTTGGCACAACGTACTTACACAAAGGTTGGCCCGACGGCCGTTTTTCCATCGGCCCAACGTGGATTCAGCTTGTTGGAAAGACGTCGGCCCGACTAGTTGGATCAACGTCGGGCTGACGTTGGTTGAAGGTCAAATAATTACGTTGGCGCAACGTACTTACACAAAGGTTGGCCCGACGGCCGTTTTTCCATCGGCCCAACGTGGATTCAGCTTGTTGGAAAGACGTCGGCCCGACTAGTTGGATCTACGTTGGCCCGATAATGTATGTGCAACGTCGTCCAATCACGTTGGCCCAACGTACCTTTCTAATGTTGCCTAGACGTTTGTTTTTACATCGGGCCAACGTCGATTCAGCCAGTTGGAAAGACGTCGGTTCGACTAGTGGGAGGAACGTCTGGCTGATATGTTTGTGCAACGTCATCAAACTACATTGGGCCAACGTACTTTTTCTGATGTTGCCTAGACGTTCGCTTTTCCATCGGGCCAACGTCGATTCAGGCAGTTGTAAAGACGTTGGTCCGACTAGTTGAGTCAACGTCGGACCGATAATGTTTACGCAACGTCATCAAACCATGTTGGCCCAACGTATTTATACTAACGTTGATCAGGTGCCGTTATATCTCATTTTACACTATAAAAAATAGATAGTAACGTAGATTATTCTAGCCTTCTAAAAGAAAGTGCCCAATACAATAAAATTTTTCACTTTATAATTTTATTACTATAAATGAATGTATACACTATGGTTTGAATACATAACATATAATAGAGTCTATATCAATTAGGCGTAATACAATAATGGTTGATTTAAACTCAAAACAAAAATGACATGATATTCTGTGCATTTAAAAAACAAAATTGAAAATTCAGTCTGGGTCATTGAGATAGTACGCGGAAGAGAACAGAAACAGAAACACTGAAATTAAAGAAATCAGAGTTCTGGACTAGAACTTACCTAGAGTCAAGGGGAGAAATTTTATGGTTTGGAAAGGTGAAAATTGTTCCTTAGAGGAACTGCCTCACCTATCCTATTCAAGCCCCGGAGGCAAACAAGTAGCAGGGTGGATCCAGGATTTGAAAGAGAGGGGTTCAAAATGTTTTCAAAAAAACACAAAATGAAAAGGGGTTCCATGGGTCCTCCCCTAGGAAGAAATTGAGTCCTAAATGGTCAAAAATGAGCTTTCCTGACTTTTGAGGAGTCTTTTAATGACCTTTAAGTTCTTCAAAATTTAAGGTTTTTCCCTCTTAAAAAAGGTCAGGTAATTTTACCTCATATTCTTTAGGTCTATACATAGAGAAAAAAAAATCAAAGGCATAGTCAATATATTATTATATTCCAACAAAATTGAGTTGTTAGATATGTAGTCTTTCTTCCCTGGATCGATGAACCAATAGGATTGAAGAAAGCACTTTTGTACATAAATTATTACGACGTTGAACCAAAAACAGTGTGTATAATTTATTTGATTGAAGACTAGTTGGGCTAAGCCTAGTTTGTCTGATCTGCCAACCTATGCCTAGGTAGGTTGACATGCCTTTTGTAAGCCAGGACCAAGTAGGGCCTAGTATTTTGTTACGTTTCTTCACAGAGGGAGGTTCGTCCAAACCCCCTAAACCCCCTTCCCCGCATCCACCACTGAGCAGGAAAATAATCCATCTCTCGCATTATTATTATATTTATAGTTATTCTTATTATTAATTATTATTAAAATATTAAAATTGATTTAGGATCAACCAGAAAATTAATGTTCTTATAATGTCCGCAACCTCAAATGGTCTCGACAAAAGTGGTAGCGATGCTTATCAGATGAAGGGATCATTCCTTGACCCCCTCCACTTTTCCGCCATCATTGGGTATCCCACTAGAATATTGGATGAATTGACAGAATGTGGAAGTACTTTGCCTCTGACCCAACACCCGGATATTTTTTCTTCAGGAAGTGGACTACCATTATTTCCTGTGTCAGTGCTTTCCCATAATGTGGTTACAGTTGCCAGCTTGTCTCAGGTAAAAAAGTGGAGGAAATAAGCTTTAAAATTATATATAGTACTCACCCACTGTCGCGAGCATATTTTCCGGCCTCTTCGTAAAACACAGACGCAGCCTCATACTCATACTCAGTGTCTGTATAGAGAAGACTGCCCAGTCCAATATTAGCCATTCCATCGGTGCATACAATCACCTTTGAACCTGGTCGTTGTGATGCCATTGTATCTGTCTCTTATACACATCTAGATGTGTATAAGAGACAACCAAAAGACCTGGTCCAAGAGCAGTTTGTCCGGCCTCATTTAAACTGCAAGACATAAAATGTTACATTGAGTTGCTACAGTATTATCATCAATTTTTCTGCCAGGCACGCAAGTTCACGTCCAACAGGGTTCACTCCAACAGGATGCCATGGACATGAGTTCACGTCCACACCTGACCAACATACCAATTGTATTGCACACAAACTCGCTGGCAGTGGTCACAAGGACGCTAACTC